CAAAAGAAGTCTTGTTTATCTTTTTCAATACAGGTTGGTGCCTTAAAAGCAGCAAAGATCGTAAAGGAGGTCAAGGAAAAAGCCCTCAATGATGTATTTAGACCTGCCTCAGCAATTGTTGAAGAGGTAAATAATTGATGTCATATATTATGCATAAGAATATAATATTGTAATACATAAACTAATTATGAATTGAGTATTACGCAGCTCTATCAATTGAGACATGAAAAAAAAATTTAAAATTTGAGAATTTAGTTGTACATCATTAACTTTCATTTGATTTTAGGTCTTAATGGAACAGCTTACCACAGCACCATGTCCTGCCCTAAGCAATCCTGCTAACATAGCCAGGGCAGCAAACAGGCTGCGCCAACAGTCCCGCCCTAAGGACCCAACCACTTTAGATTTTGAGGTTCAGAAAGACAATATTCCAGATGGGTTTTTAAAGGTRAGTATTATAAGTCTACTACAAAATACTATGAAAAATATTTTGTGAACTGCTAAATAATTACAATTGAACTTAGATGTCAATATTCCTTATCAGAATAGAAGATTCTTTATCATCTTACAATAACACATTTCATGTAATGTATGATATTTATTGATAGTTTTCACTGTAAATTACTCTTATAGGCTGACATCAAAGTTAAAGACAGAYGGCATTTTATTTTTGCACTTGAAAACCAGCTAGATCAGTTGTRCTCTGCTAAAACTTGGTATCTAGACGGTACATTTAAACTGGTTAGCAAGCCATTTACCCAGCTTCTCACAATAAATGTTTTTGTGAGGGCTGGGGAATGCATCAAGCAAGTTCCCCTGGTTTATGTTGTGATGTCAGGAAAGAAAAAAAAGGATTATAAAAAGGTAATTATATAATGAATTTATCACATCACATGCATTATTGTACTTCATTATATTACTTTCTTAGTAACTTTCTTAGGTCCAGGCACTAGGATTGGCCACAGCGTACAAGAAAGATGATGGGACATATAAGTTTGTCAGGAGGCTGATGGCACTTCCTTTCCTTCCCAGCTCTGAGATTCCCCGTATTTTCATCAGGTATAAATTAGAAATTAATTTTATAATCAAATATAATTTAATATTCAAAAAGCATAATCATTTAATATCAYGATTGTTAATAAAGCCTCATTTCATTTCAGGCTACTTCCTGAAGCAACAACAGAGGGCCTCCAAGCTCTAACAAGATATATCCAAGAAAACTGGATTGAAAGTATARTGTTCCCACCAGAAAACTGGAGTGTATATGGCCAGGTGGTACGCACCAACAATGACCTGGAAGGCTACCACAATGCCCTCAACCGTAGAGCAAGTGGCAAAGTCACTTGCCATTCTACATGCTCGTTCAATTTTTACATAAAGAAGCTAACCTTGTGGGGCTACAGATTAAGCTAGTTTCTGAAGAAAAACTCAAAAGGATACAGAGAAAGAAGTACCGTAATTTGCAATGTAAAGTTTTAAAACTRTGGGAGGATTATTCTAAGAATGAGAAWTCAGCCGCTCAGCTTTTGAAAGCATGTTCWGTTTTGAACGGACCAATTCKTGGCCATYAAGCTTAATTGTAGGTTTCTTTTGTTGAAACTTTTTGCTTGTAAATAAATTATGTACTTCCATATAACCTTTAAATAAATTGTATATTTGTAAATAAAATATTAATGATGGCAAAAAAACGTAGTCATTTGCTTCTTACCTATTAAAGAACGGCTGTAAAGGAGGCGGAGGCTACATGCAAGGTAACTAGAACCCAGTCTCAGCGCGATGCATAATGCAGCATTAATTAAATATGGCGCGCGGCGGCTATTAAACGAAAGCTGGCTTTAGTGATGACTGACTCTATCTCCAGCTGGTAAAACATTAATTTCGTTGCAATATAAAGTATGTTGTTCTGTAAAAAATAAGCCATGAGTTTAGGCATTGTTGACATTTACAATGCTTTGATGTGTCATTTTCATTGACATCCGAGTTCGTGAGATACAGCGCGAGCCTACAGCGCGATAGATCTTTGACTTTCATCGAGACAACTGGAATTAATGCTATTATAAAAATTCCATCATTGCTTTGATGGACTTAAAATTACATAAATTCTATTTCATAAAGCTTTTCAAGTGTATATTTATATGACATGATATCGTGTGGGCGAAAAGACTTACGGTTGTGGGCTAAACGGTGTGGGCGAACTGACGGTCTATTTTACTGTACTGAAGGTAAATTTGATTAACTTATTAAGGGTGAGTAATCGCTAACGAAGCGACGCCAGCACTGCTTGGCACGGATAGTGCAGCGGTAAATACTCAGAGCGTACGGCTGATTCAAACCAGAAAGACCGTTGGTGGACGTGGTAAATATATTCATATCGTACGGCTGATACAAACCAGAAAGACCGTTGGTTGGAAAGATAAGTGAACAGTATTTACTATCCATTTAGAAACAAATGTATATCAATTCAAAGATATAACTAGCTAAAAACTAGTGTGAGCTGCGTCGGTGTTTCTAATGAAACAATAATGATGAAAAGGTAAATTATACACCGTGAAAAGATGAAAAAACTTACTGACGTTTCGGACGCTAGTCCTTCGTCGGAGTAAAAGAGAAAGAAGTGTTAGAAAGGAGTGTATATATGATAGAATAAGACAAAAGAAACCAATGAGAGCAAGGTAGGCAAGGAAACAAAAACAAATAATCAAAAGACAAAAGAAAAGGTTAGTTGAAAATAAAGCGTTCATTAATCCCGTTGGGACTAAGAGTGCCCAATAGGTGAATAAGCCGCATTTCTTTGGTCTTGCGACAATCATTGTTGCCGTTAAGC